CTTCAGATTCTTGATCAGCGACCTCAAAACCCCCTAGCTACCAAGTTTTATCAGAGTCCATCAATTTTTAAAAAAATGGGTATACCACAAAAAATGTGACATGTTTTTTGAGGTTAGGAAGAAATGTATATGTGCAGGACCAAAACGGACACCGGATTCGTGTTCAGCGGCCCAAAATACATGCGGATAGGGTACTCCGATCTCCCAATCCCGACACTTTTTTTTGTGTGGCTGTGTAATTTTTAAATAATTTTCTAGTTTTGTTTAGAAATATGATTTAACAAAATCTGTTATTTTCGATTTACCAAAAACATTATTTAACAAAACTTTAGTCTTTTAATGCAAAGAAATGAAAAAATTTCCAATGATTAATATTTTTAATAAATAAATAATGGAAAATAAGAAATGAAATGATGAAAATAATGAAAAAAATAAAGTGTTATTTAATTTTCAAAAAAGAGGAAAAATATGAAGTGTTAAACTGCATTTTTTACGTTTCACAAAAATTAAATTCTTTGACTATATGAAAGTCACGAACCCTGAAAAAGACCTGAAAAGCAGTTGGACTATAACAAGAGAGTAAATCTATTCCTTCCCATTTGCAATTTTTGGTTTACATTATTAATTTCTCTTAGTCTATGAGTAACTAGGAGGGGCAGAATGATAACACGCCATATTGCATCCGACATTTTGAATTTTGTAAATTTTGAAAAACTGATATCACCCCGGATTCGTAATCAGCGACCCCAAAAACCCTTAATGCAATTATTTATGAAATTTCCATTATATTAAAAAAGTCAGACGTTAAGGGGTTAATATGAGATCAATGATCCCATATGTAGAAACACTTTTTAAAAACTAATTCAATTCGCTTGAAATTTGTTACTCTGGTACGGATACAGTAAAAGATATGTGCGTTTACCTTTTTGTGATTTTCCGTTGTTATGGAAACAATCGCATATTTTTCTACTTCGTTTTCCTCATTTGAGTCATCATCGGAGTTATCTAAAGGATAGCGAATATTAGAATAACTTTCTAAAGCTTAGCTTCGTATTAAGTCTGTAAAATATGTGATTATGACGTGGTAAAGTAAAATTAGGGGAACCGAGTTTTCCATTACCTATAACCTATCCTGACTAAAGATGCTGTAGGGGAAGTGCGCCGGTTGTGGACACTCTTTTGTTTATGGCTTATAACTTTTGACAAAATGCATATTATGAGATATCTGCGTATCAGTGGTAATCTAGAGGCCTTAGGTAACTGTCAAAGAAGTAACTAAATTGATTCCTTCAAGTAGAAAGATTTTATTAAAAATTTAGTAAAGTGACCATTTTTAGAGAAAAAAAAAGTTGTACCCGGTTGTGGGCACCCTCGGTCAATCCGCAAATAATGAAAAGAAATAAAGTAAAACCAGCATAATTGAAAAGAAAATGATAATTCTCGAATAACACAGGAAATTCCATTCATATTCCTGGAATATTCCATTAGAATATTGGAAATATTCTACAGCAATATTGTATTTTTTTTCTAGAAGTATAAAAGTGTCCGCTTTTTGGAATATTCTTTTGAAATTTAGGAATATTTCATTGAAATCGGGGTTGCTAATGCCAAATATAATGACAAATTGACTATTTGACAGTTGACTATCAAATCAACTGTCCCAGAACACTGTTTCTGAAAAGTACTTACTTCTAACGAAAGTGACAGTATAAGTCTCAAATTGTCAATTTGAGATATTCGTAATCAGTGACCCAGAAAATCCTTTTAGTGTCACATTTGTTCAAAATAATCACTTTTTAGAAAAGCTGACAGTTGAACTGCCAACGGTGAAATTGTCAACTTAACATCATTTTCGTAATCATCGACCACAAATTACACTGACCTTTTTGAAATAATTTACATCTCTTTAATTCACTTAAAAAAAAATAGAAAATTACTTTTATCCTTATTTTTCTTCAAGATATTTTCATTATGCCCACTGCTTATAAGAAAATACTCGTTTCGCTTCGATATTAACACAAAAATAGTGTACTGTCAACACACACGTTTGACTGTACTCAGATCAGCAATATCTACTTGCTGTCAAAATTTACGTAGGGGTGCCCACAAGCGGAGCGTACCCATAACAGGCGCACTTACCCTACAGATTATCGAGTGCGACTCACGGTGAAAAATTATTTTACTGTTGTGATGTTGCTCTTTAGTAGCAAACTTCACTCTCTAAAAATCACTTATTTTCATCACTAGTAGCACAATGTGCTATTTTCTAACTCACGCAGAGAAAGTAACTTTTCCTCTTTCTCTTTGAGAAAAACATACTTTTCTCCCTCTATACAGGTAAGAAATAGTGTACTTTCGGTGCATATATTAGAAAAGAGTATATTGTGTATGCTGAACTCTATGAGCGAGATTATAACACTTTTTCATTTAGGGGAGATTCGTATGGCCCCGGACACTTGAGCTTTTTGGTCAATAATTTGTATCCATATTTTTAGGATATTAATTAAATTCTTTAAACGCATACAGAAAGCCTTTTTGAACGTTCAACATTAATTCATTAGTAAAATAATAAAATCCGTTAAGAGAAAAATAAGGACAAATATGAATATTAAAATCTTAACCTTCAACTATTTGTCGGGTAGCCCCGGACAAGCGTAAAAATATTTTTTATTTTAATAATTTGACTAGATAAACTAGCATCAAAATATATTTTAAACAATGAATAGATTTTTTAAAAATGTATTTAATTTACAAAAAGGTCAAAATAAATAAAGATTTTTATAAGACGTTCAATGTGACATACATTTTTTAAAGTGTCGGATACTTCTAAGTTAAATTTAAAAGTTTCAAGGTTTTTAAAAAAATGAAATGAAAAAACTGAGTCAATATTTCAAAAATAAAAGTTAAACTGTATTATATAAAACTTGTAATTTGATTATATGAAAATAACACATTTTTTCTAGAAATTAAGTGTGTCCGGACTACACATTAACCGAGGCTATACGAATCTCCCCTATTTGTGTTTCTTTTAGAATTTATTCTACTTTTGGGTGTACTTTTAAATAAAAAAGTCAGAAGACTTAAAAAAAATTTGGTATACTTGCGTATTATAATGCACTGATTAAGAAAATCATAATAAAAGTTAGCGCAAATTTTAATTTCGTGGTAAAAAAACAGGAAATAGCATAAAATTGTAGGTTTTTGATTTTAACTAGAAAAACACACAAAATTTCATTAAATGTTCATTGCAAAAGTTAAATTTTATTATCTTTTCATTTTTTGCTAAGCTTGATTTGTTTGCGAGAAAAATGCAAAAAACCAATAATTTTTATGGTCCTGAAAACGGCTAATTAACTTAATCTTGTGAAGGAAGATGATTTGGTAGCATTATAGAAGGAAATTGATATAATCTTTAGAAAAAGCAATGACTTGATAGCCTTGAAAAAGAGTGATTGGCATAATGATTCGTGGCACAATAATTTAGTAGCCGTTAAAATTGTAGATTGATTTTTTCCATTTATTTTGTGGCGTGGATAACAATGTTTGATATTCGAAATTAATTGAAAAAAGGTTGGCATTCAATTTATGAACCCTTCCTCGTCACAGCAGTAACCTTTCAAAACAAAGGTATTTTGAAAGGTTTGAATCCAAGAGGATTCAACATTTTGGATGTGTGCTCCAGTAATGGAATTCACGAATTCCTCGAAGTTATGTGCAAGGAGACAAATTCTTCAACAAAAAGTAAGTAATTCCAAAGAAACACATAGAGACAGTTCAGGTAAGTAATGTTCTATTTCTCTTCAAATTTAAAATTATTTAATTACTTTTTGAAAAACTTTAAAGTAAAATGTGAATGAATGTAGTAGAAAAATGTATTTTTCTGGAATGCGTTGGAACGAAAGCATGTAAGCACTGCCTTACACGTATTACAGAAAAAAAAACATTTTTCTACCACATTCTAATTAAGAGACGTATACATTTACCCCGTACCATACAAGTCGTGCACGAGAGATGTAGTTCTAGCCATCTAGCAGGGAGTTAGACAACTTATAAAGGTTTCTCTTACAATCCCAGTAAGAAGCGAAGAATTAAAAAGAATTGAAAATTTTTGACTTTCCATAAAAAGGGTTAAATTATCAATTCTTTTGAATTCCGTTTTTGTCCAATTCCTATGTATTCTTTGTTGAGGTCTAAGATTTCTTAAAATTAAATTTTTATCAATTCCGCTTTAGTATTTGTCTAATGTTTTAATTCTTTTGAATTCCGAAATATTCCGAGGTAAGTCCAATTCCTATCTATTCCGATTTAATGTTGGTAACTTTTTAATTCCTTTGAATTCCGCAACACTTTAAGGTAAGTATTTAAAAATTAAATATCTATAGTAGAATTGATACAGCTGCGCGGAGATGCTGTTCGACTCCGACACTGAATATCGAGGGTTTGAATCTTCGGATCGGCAAATTTTTTTTTCAGTAAAATATTAAAACGGTATTGAAAGGAATTAAAATGAGCTTCTTTTCTACTCCTCCAAATGAATACGAAAGAATTGGAGAGAAACGGAATTCAAAAGAATTAAAAATTTCCAATTCTTTTTAATTCCTCGCTTCTTACTGGGATTTACAAACTATCTGCTAGATGGATAAAACTACATCTCTTGTGCATGACTTGTCTCTAATTTTTTATATAGTTTCAGCTAATTACAAAAAGTGCTATATATAATAGCTATTTTTAAAATTATACAAATTTTTCGATATAGTTCCAAATGTCTTATGTTTGAAATATAAAATACTAAAATTTCTTTTTAGTTTTATTAAATATCATAAAAATATGTCTTTAAGTGTACCAAAATAATATTAGTATATCAGTTGTTTTACTTTGCATGAATCAAATGTGAAATAATTTAATAAGTTTGACATCGATTAGCAAAAGATCTAATTCTTTAACATTTTATTTATATTTTAAAAACTTTTATTTAAAAGATAAATGAATCAAATTCATACCAGGTTCATTTTGCCTTTCCAAATTCATTTTAAAAGCTTTACGACATACATTTTCATGATATTTTGAATATTTTCGCTTCTTTTGAGTTTGTCGATAATTAGAGTTGGAATTTTCTCTTTTTGTAGTTTCTTTTTCTACACCAAAAGGCCGATTATTATCAACTTCTAGGTCTATATTATAGTTAAAATTTATTAATAATTTAATAGATTAAAGAGTTTGTTTAAATCTGTAATATATTCAAATTTATTCTCAAAAGCAGAAAGTGTCAAAAAAAATTTATGAATCATTATTTGGACTGGCATTTCTGTCTCAAATAAGACCTTCTCATTTTTTATGAGAATGTAAAAATTCAAAAACCTTTTTAAAGCATTAGTTTTTTAAAAAAAGATAAAGTTATTAAAATTTTACTATATGAAATTATTGTAATACCAGAAACAGAATCATCAGTTTGTTCCTCATTGTTAAATATGTTTCCAGTGGAAGACGTCCTACTCACTTCCAAATCTGCATTATTTTTAAGATTAATTATTAATTATTTATTATGAATAATATATAAAGTTAAAAATAACTGCTGATCTTAAATTCAGTATAATTATTTAAAGTTTATTAGAGTAAGAAAATTTCAGCGAGCCCGATTGAAATTAATTGAAAAGTTTAATTATTTGAACTTTTAAAGTTTATTTTCAAGAGTAAATTTTAATAAAAATAGAGTGAACCTATATGAATATACTTTTTAAATTTTATTTAATTTCTAATAAAAACAGAAACATAAGAAACACAAATTTAATTTTTAAGTCTGTTATTGTGAAAAACTTTAAAATAAAAAAATCGGACAAGGGAGAATTTAACTCACACTAAAACCCAGGGATCCGTACACGAAACGAGCCAATTTAAATAAAAAATTCGCATATATGTAAATAAGAGTAAGGGGAACAATTTTCTAAAAAATTGTTCCGCTTCCTATTTTTTAAACTACTTAAAAGAGCAAAAAAAGCAGAGCATTGAAAAATATTTGGTTCTAAACGATTCCCTGTCATTTCTCCGAATAGATATTTCCCCGAAAGCAAAACTTCCGATGACCTTTTCCCCGAAAATTGATTTTAAATATATTCCTCGAAAAAACATTTCCCCGAAAACAAAATGAAATATTTCAAAAAAAGACAAATGTATTAAATAGAAGAAATACCCAAACCACGTGTCCACAAGTTTTTAAAGTTCAAATGAACGAAATCTTTTTTATTAAAAATATTTTCATAAATTAGGGGTGACCGGGGTAAAATCGGTCACAGGATAAATCCGGTCACTAGTGATTTTACGCTTTAAACTGAACTGAAGAGGGAGATATAACTACTTTGAATAGTACTAGAGGTGTGCAAAAATCGAACCGAAAGAAAATTCGAATCGAAAAGCCAATTCTAAGTATCGAATTGCGAGTTGATACAACTCGAATCGATTAGCATTCGAATTGGACCAAACAATCCGAAATTCGAACTTTCGAATTACGATTTGTCATAATTCTACTCGAAACACATTCGAATCAGACCGAACAACTCGAAATTCGAAACTTCGAATCACGAGTTGTTACAACTCGACTCTACTTCGAATTTAATCGGTCAATTCGAAATTCAAAACTTCGAATTTCGAGTTGTCACAGCGAATTCGAATCGAACCCGACAATGCAACCCGGCTGAAAAAACTTGTACAAGAAAATGTACAAGTTCTTGCACATGTTCATTAATGAACTTATACATTTTCTTGTACATGTTCAAGTAATGTTCTTGAACAAGTTCAGCATCCGGAATTTAGACATGTTCTTGTACAAGTTCTGGTACAAGATCCTGGACAAGAAAATATATTTATACAAGAAAATGTACATGTTCTTGTACATATTTTTTGTGTAGCTTTTATGTAAAAGTACTTTTACATGAACACGTTTATGTTCCTGTACAAGAACATTTGTTTAAAATTGTTTTGGAAAAAAATTTGAAATTTTAATAAGTTATAATTACACTGGTCGACAAAATTCAGACTTTTTTCTGCCACAAAAGTAAACGATGATGATTCTTATAGGATTTTTCCCGTAGATTACAAATCCGTAAGCTAAACTTGCCCATCACGTCTCAATTTTGAGAAAAACAGGGTACAAGTGTCCAAAAATGGCATTTTTGGCACTTTTCAATGCTCTGTGAAAAATTAATGCGTCGTGATAAACACTTCTAATACGGGTTAAAAGAAAGCCTAAACCCTCAACTTTAATCTCCAAAAGCGAAAACCTTACTTACGTTGACGAACTTTTGTTTAATTTCATTAATTCAACATCGTGTCAGAAACGATTAAGTGTTTCGGGAAACTTTTTTATGTATTTGGGGGATTACTATTATTATTATTATTTTGAGGATTCGAGGAAATATTCATTCGGGGAATGTGATTCGGGGGAATGGTCGGGTACCGTTCTAAACGTATGTGTCCTGGACAGATAAAAGAGTCCTTATATGTTCGATGGAATAAATTTTTACTCTTTCGGTGATTCTTATAGAAAAAGATATGCTTTTTTCAATGGAATAAACTGCGTGCATATCTAGCTTTTCTAGTTTTTTTCGCAAACGCTCTTCAAAGTGGGGCACAACTGGAAATTTTTTTTAAATTTCAGTAAAAAAGAAATGTATGTAAAAATTTATCGGATTTGCATGAATCTAGTTACACAGGGGTTTCTGGGAGCACTGATTACGAATGTCGCATCAGATTTTTAAAACTGAAAATGATGGAATCAATATGGCGTATTTCAAAATGAAACCCGATTCGTTTGAAAATTGTTACTCCGGGGTTTACAGAGTCGCTGATTTCAAGCAAATACAATCAGTATTTCATTTATTTACCCGCTATATTGAATCCGACATTTTTAGTTTTCACAATCTAGTGCCAGATTCGTAATCAGTGACTTTAGAAACCCCCGAATAACAATTTTTAAGCCATTTCAATGTACAGGAACATCAATATTGACTTGTTAAGTTTGAGATCGTTTTCCTCAAAAACTTGATTTCGGATTCCCCTTTTAACTGTTCAGGTCACATATATTATTCTCATGTTTTGCGAATATTATACTAAATAAGTTCTTAACGAGTGCGCATCGCTAAGTTTTTGCATGAGTTAAATTTTATTTGTTTTATTTAAAGATTTATTTATTTTATTCAACTTAAAAAATATATAAAGCTAAAACTTGTACGGTTTTTCACCTTAAGAACATTGAGCTTCAAAGTATAAGTAAAAAGTATACTAAAAATAGGACAATATATTACCAGAATCAGAATCATCCGTTTGATTATTATTAATATTTGATGCTCCTGCATCAGGAGGCAGATTATCAGTTTGCATGTCTGTATTTTAATAATTATTTAGTAGTTGTTTAGTAATTATTTAGTAATTTATTAATAAATAATAAAAACATTTAGTTTTAAAGTAGAAGTAAAAAGTATAATAAAAATTGCACAATATAATACCAGAATCAGAATCATCCGTTTGATTATTATTAGTATTTGATGTTTTTGCATCAGGAAGCGGCTTATCAATTTCCAAGTCTGTATTTTAATAATCATTTAGTAGTTTTCATTATTAATTATTGATTAATTTATTAATAAATAATAAAAACATTTAGTTTCAAAGCAGAAGCTAAAAGCATACTAAAAATAGGACAACATAATACCAGATTCAGAATCATCTGATTCACTGTTAATATTTGATGACCCTGCAGTAGAAGGCAGCTTATCATTTCCCAAGTCTGTATTTTAACAATTTTTTATTAATTTACATCAATTCTTTAAAATTTTTTAAAGTATTATGATTTTAAAAAAATATACTGTTGTTTGTTTTTAATAAGGATTCTTTTTACTCTATTATTTTTATTTATATATTTCGTTAATTATATTCTATCTAATTTTTTGACAAGAAATTAATAACATTTATTAATGTAAGAGGCTATTATTGTTCAAACAGCATTACTTTCATTAAAAGTTGATTTAATAAAAAGAAGAAGTGAAAAATAAAAAGTTTATCAATATAGTACCCAAAGAAAAGTACAACAGAAGCGTTTTTTAGTTTTTGATGGGATAAAAAATATTGTTAGGAAGTTAAAAAAACAAAAAGTTTACAAAAAATGACGTGTGAATATTAATGAAAGATTGTCCTTCTTAAAACAATTTACACATAATGATAATATTACACTTTTTAAGCAACAAAAAATGGTTTCAAATAAAATTTTCTATGCCGTTCATTTTTTTCTTTAAAAGAATAATACTATTTTCAAAAACATTTGGAAAATTAGCGGACAAGCTTCATTCTTTCACGGACGTAAGCTCTAAAAAAGGAAAAACAATATAGATATAGCTTAAAATCAATAAAGAACCAATAATATGATTTAGGATAAATGTCTAATGGATTTAGTTTCGAAAAAAATATCTTTTTTTAATTGGTTATGCTGACGGACAGTTAGAAAGTAATTGTTTTGAGAAATTTGCGTTAAAACAATGAATTTAATTAAATTAAAATGGTTGAGAATTATTTTACTAAGAAGATTTAGAACACAAAAACGCAAAGAAAGAAAATCGCTTTTCAACTGCATGAAGTGTAATACTACCTTAGAAAATTAAGGTTATAAAAATTTTAATATATTTTATACCATTATCAGAATCATCCATTTGTCCATTATTTTCAGATATCTCTGAAGCAGGAGTTTTATCAGCTTCTAAGAATAAATTATAATTAGTATTTAAAATAAGTGATTGTAATAAACTATTTAATAGAATAAAATTTAGGGATTAGATCTAGAACACCCGATTCTAACGTACAATATGTTGCAATAAAACTTTCGAAAGAAACAGAAACTTATAACTTTTGCAACGGAACTATAAAGTACACCCTTTTCTTTTTTAAAAACAATGAAATTAAATACGTAAATTAAGAAAAAAATCATGACAATGGCACTATTTAACTTGTACAGCATTGTATATGAGGTATTCCATGCCAAATCGGAGACCATTTGGCTTTTGCACGTCAGATCTTTTTGAAAATTTTTTTCCTTTTAGTACTCATGAAGACTAGCTTTCATGATTTTTTTCAAATTTTTTCATCAAGCCCTTTAGGAGATATCAATTTTTGAAAAATTACGTCACTTTTTTTTGAAATGCTTGTAATTTCGCTAAAAATTGACCAAATTGGATCAATCTTATATCAAAATTTTTGGTTTTAAACGTACTTTCCAAAAAAAATATTGAAAGGTATTTTCGAAAAAAATTTCTATTAGATTTTTGAGATTTAAGACTAAAAATTCATTTTTGAACCTGTGTGTATCGATCGATTTTTTTCAAAATTTTTTTACAAAAACTGCTCTAAATTTGACGAATTTTGAGCCTAGTCCGATAATGGGAAAACGATGGGAACTATTTTTTTCGAATTTTCAAATTTTACGTTTTTAATTATTCACGTTAAAAAGTATTTAAAATTATTCTTAGAACTATTTTACTATATATATATATATATATATAATTAATAATGTGTAATTATTTGATGCCTAGAGATTAATTATTTTAGATTGATTAAAGGAAAAAGATATAAACAAAAAAAGTATTAAACATGCTCAATGAAGTTTTTTCATCGGGACTATTCTTTACTCTATGATTCTGTAGTTTAAAAGAGTTGCAGCAGAAATTAAATGCTCCTAAATTTGACATAGCATAAGAACGTAGAATTGTTTTTTTACATGACACGCTATAAAGACTAATAAAATATGTTTTTAGGTTAAATTTGATTGCGATATTTTCGCACTTGTTCCCATGGTGAATATTAATCAGGAGTAACAGTGCGCAAGTCGCGTTTTCGTATTCTTCTGCGCACGCTATTACTCCGCCATTTTGAAAATAATTTCGGTTTTAAAATAGGAATCTATCGTTTTTTTCAGGTTTTTATCTTCCTAGTCTGCAAATTTATTTTTTAATTCTTAATTTGTGATTAAAGATTTCATTCATATTTATTAATTATCGAGTTATCTGGTATTATTTTGAAAATGTTTATGCATGTTTAATACTTTTTTTGTTTATATCTTTTTCCTTTAATCAATCTAAAATAATTAATCTCTAGGCATCAAATAATTACACATTATTAATTATATATATATATAGTAAAATAGTTCTAAGAATAATTTTAAATACTTTTTAACGTGAATAATTAAAAACGTAAAATTTGAAAATTCGAAAAAAGTAGTTCCCATCGTTTTCCCATTATCGGACTAGGCTCAAAATTCGTCAAATTTAGAGCAGTTTTTGTAAAAAAATTTTGAAAAAAATCGATCGATACACACAGGTTCAAAAATGAATTTTTAGTCTTAAATCTCAAAAATCTAATAGAAATTTTTTTCGAAAATAACTTTCAATATTTTTTTTGGAAAGTACGTTTAAAAACAAAAATTTTGATATAAGATTGATCCAATTTGGTCAATTTTTAGCGAAATTACAAGCATTTCAAAAAAAAGTGACGTAATTTTTCAAAAATTGATATCTCCTAAAGGGCTTGATGAAAAAATTTGAAAAAAATCATGAAAGCTAGTCTTCATGAGTACTAAAAGGAAAAAAATTTTCAAAAAGATCTGAGGTGCAAAAGCCAAATGGTCTCCGATTTGGCATGGAATACCTCATATAGTTTAAATTAAAAAATGCAAAATCAAGATTTTTCTCAAAAACTAGTAAGTAGCAATTATTTTGAAACCAGAACCTTCAATGTGAGCACTTTTCTTTGCAGACATACATATTTTGTATTTAAAGTAAGCAAACTCCTATTCTGGTATTAACAGTAAACGCTATTAAGAGATTTTGCCGAAAAACTTTTAGTTTACTTGAAATAGAATTGTTGTAGTGTTTAAATAGGGGTTACATAGTTAAATTTTATGGAAAAAATTTAAAAGCTTATTGATGTCTAAAAATTATATCTTGAGAAGAAATTGTTAAATTTTGCTAAAATCTTATGGTGATTGTCACATTGAGTTTTTCTGTGCTAAAAGAAAAAAGAGGAGCTAGTAATATATGGAAATACGGAAGTTAGATTAAGATGATATCAAATTCGATAGGATTTTCCCATTGAAGCGCCGCCTAAAAATCTCATCGACTCTGACATCACCTTGATGTTAGAAAGTCCAAGCGCTTCGCCTGCCTGAAGCCTCTTCTGTCAGGCCAAATAAACAAACGCTATTTGCATATAACTTTTTTATTCTTTTTTTTTATTGACATTTTGCAATTTTTGTTTTGAAAAATAATGCGCTTAGCTTTGGTTTTCAGGTAAAAGAGGTCACAGTCATCTGTCTATTTGGCCTTCCGGCATGCCATAAGGACATTTTTTTTCTTTTGATGACATGAAAATAAACTTTCAAACTTCTTTCAGCTGCCAAGCCCTGTCATTTAAGTTTAGAGCCTTAATATTTTTTGCACTATTAAGCTTATGACTTTACCTTTCCAAAAATGTATATAACTTTGGGTTTAACTAAATCCGAATTAATGTTATAATGTTTCAAAATATAGGCTTCCGGCATGCCAAGTAGGCCCCTTGGACGTTCTATCATTAAGATTCACCGATGACCTCAACACAAGATATTTGTAAAAGTTACATCGAAGGTTTGAAAACAAAATACGTGGAAAAGAAATGATTTCGTTGAATATTAGCTATTGGATGAAGCATGATTCGTTTGATTTTTACACTACCCTGAATATAAGGTGAACAAAAAATTATTCCCACCTCTTGCCCTTCTCAAGAATAAAATTATTATTTGTTGTACTATAATATTATGAAAAATATGATTTTTTTTAATGTAATCTTATTTTATAATATAATTTTTGTTAAACTTACTTTTTAATTCTAATTGTAAAATTCTTGCCCTTTCTTCTGCTTCTTTTAGAGCTTGTTTCAAAATAAGAATTTCTGTACTTTCAGGTGACACATCATTTTTTTGAACTTCTAATTGTGAGAGTGAATTATGTGCATGTAGAGCCATCTTTTTTTTCAAAAAAGTTTCTTTTTCTATATTTATTTTCGCTTTTGAAATCTTTAATTCTCTAGTCTGTGATATATAAGATTCTCATAAGAAAGTGAACATGTTTTTTGTTCAAATAGTGAAAAAAAACAGTTCTATTCGATAATTATAAATTTGAATAACACGGAAATTTTTGAAAGAAGATTTTTATATTGATACCTCACACCACAAAAGAAATTTAAGAATTATTGTTGTTTTTGACACAGTTTACTCTACTTTATGCAAAATAACGAGGTTTTGAAAATCGAAAATCTTTTTGCTCAGATACCGAATTACTATATCTATTAGTTAAAATAAACTTAACTGAGGGTCCAGTTCAAAGATTAGGTTATAATTTTTCTAGACTCAAAATTCTCGACCTCTAAATCAAAAAATAATTTAAAATTTCAATTTCTTGTAAGCATTTCGTATTAGTATAAAGATTAAGGTAAACGCCCCAATTATGGAACACTTTTTTGGTTGCCTCAAGTTTTATGTTATTTTTCTTGAAGACAATAATTTTAATTAAAATTTTTCTAATTACTACTCGATTGGCCTACTTTTCTAGATTCTAAAAGCACTTTTAAAATTTATTTTTGATTATTTTTCTTTTTTTATTGAGGAAAATTGTAAAACACTTTTATGTACCTATTATGGAACACTATTTTCAGGCTTGTACCGGTGTTCCATAATGAATGCCCCTATTATGGAACATTCAATCTGATTCTAATTTTAAGATATTTATTCAAAGTTTTGAACAGTTTTAGTTGGCATGGGTAAAGAAATGTGAAATAAAAATGAATTTAAATATTTAAATTAATAATTTATATTTTATTTCTCAATATTAAACAATTGTTTAAATAATAATCTTGTACATACGTAAACAAACAATATAATCTTTCACAACTGAAACAGTGTAATTAAAACGAATCAAAGAATTTTGTCTTAAAACTGAGTAATTAAAATAATTTTCATTTCTTTTCTTTTTTTATTTTTAATCCCTTTTTCGGTTGTTTTGGTGGTCGCTTCAACTTTGATCGGATTTCTTTCATTTGCGTCTCCAAATTTTTCTTTTGCTCAGCCAATTGTTGTTTTTGAAGTTGCAGAACTTGCCTCTCTTGTTCCTTTTTTTCTTGTTTTTCCTTTTCTTTCTCTAATTTTTGAATTTCATTCCACCTTGCATCACATGTAGCTACAGATGGTTTTTTATGTTTTCCTTTTTTTTCTAATTCAGCTCTTTTCTTTTTTGGAAGGTACTTTGTTGGAAATAGAAATGAGTCTTCGAAAGAATCACTAGAATTGGCTGCATCTGAAAAGTTTAATTTTTGGCAATAGTACTTATATATACCTAATGTTACATAAGAAATATATAATTAGTCAACTTACTCATATCATTTTCGTGCTGAGTAACTTCTGATGTTTCGATCTCCAGAATTCCAGATTGTGTTTCCTCGTTTAATCTTATTGTTTCATCCTGCACCCAATCAGAAGTAATATTTTTGAAAATTCCACACTGAACGACATTCAAAGCTTTGCTTTTAACAACTGTAGATTGGGAATTTTCATGTGGATCCAAAAAATCATTTGTAGTTAAACTTACCATTTCTGAAATTATTTGCATTAATTACAATTTTGATTATCAAAACATTTAACAGTAAAGATTTGAATGTGCATTTAGAATTTTTACCTTTATTGTTTCCATTTTCCTTTACCATTTCCATTTGCATTTCTGTTTCATCGTCATTATTATTGAAGTCATAAGGTGCATTCAAGTCGATTAAAATTGTAGGAGATTCAACAGCAACATTGTTCTCAAATTCTTGAGGATTATTATCAATTGCAAAAATAGAATCGACAGATTTATCTTCAACAAGCAGTACATCCTCAGTAAGCAATATTTCAATCGAATTCTGGTCAAGTAACTTTTCTAACATCTTCGGATCGCATTGCTCTGAACTAATTTGTAATTTTTCTTTTTGAAGTTTTTTCTCTGCAGTAACGTTTCTAATTAAATTATCAATTTCCACTTGTACTTGCTCAGAAAGATGTTCAGGATTTTCGACATTCCGAATATTGAGTGTTTTTCTTGTTCCCGTCGGTTTCTCTAAATCTACTAATAAATCGTCCTCTTATCAACAACTTCAGTTTAAAAATTTCACATGAAAAAAAATCAGCTTTAAAATAATTGATTATTTTGAGATTTTGTTTTAATACAAAAAAAAGTTTTAGTTTAAAAATTTCACATGAAAAAAAATCAGCTTTAAAATAATTGATTATTTTGAGATTTTGTTTTAATACAAAAAAATTTATAAAAATGTATTGTAGAAATTAAATTACAGAATATTATCTAAATTATAATTTTAAAAAATCAGTAATGTTAATTATAAGTCAATTTTTAATAATATCATGAAAATTAATTAATTATAGATAGTCGGATTTAAATACCGGAAGCTGCCGTTTTGATTTTCAGCCAATATTCAAACAATCCTTTCTTATCAAGGGGACCAATCCACGCTTGTTGAGTTTCACTAATCTCAAACATCATTTTCTCTCCAGGATCTAAATTTTTTTCGAATTGCTCCAGATGATATTTTTTAGATGCAAAAATATTACCGGTATCGATTGGATTTTCTTCTTTGTTTTTCATTACTTTTTTCTTTCTTTTATCTAAAATATTGTAATTTATAACATCTGGATCAAAAGGGACCAATCCAGCGCTTCTAAATCCATTGATAACTGTCTTAGCCTCATCTTGATAAGAATCTATCGTCAATTTTAAAACTGCTGGAAAATTTTCTTTTGTCACTTGTGATACGTTGTTGTTTCTTTTCCAAACAGGAACTATTTCTCTCCATAACAATTTCATGGGATGAAAATATGAAATGTCAAGGGGCTGTATTAAATGAGTGGAATTGGGAAACAGCAGAATGAGATGAATTTGTTTTTCTCTGCAGAAAGACACTAAAGGAATTGACATGTGCGATGAATGACCGTCCATGTAAACTACAATGGGGAAATTTGTATTTTCTTTTGACAACCAAGGGTAAAATACCAAAGTAAAATACTCGTGGAAAGTCTCTGCAGTCATCCAACCATTTTCAGACATGCCAAGTCCCCAATTCCCTGGAGTTTTTTCTAGAATATTTTTTGAAATCGTGGTTTTACCCTTGTACAAAATCATTGGTGGTGCTCGTTTGCCATCAGCACTAAACATAAACAATGCTGTATGACATTCTTTTTCTGACCCGCCAACAACATTATATACAGCTCTGGCCCCTTTTTCAGCAAAAACTCTCTTCGTGTCTGGACACATCTCAATGCTGGTCTCGTCGCAATTGAAAATCTGTGATGCAGGTAGATTTGAAAGATTATTTTCTTGAAGATAACATCGAATCTCTTCAAACCACTCGCGTAAATCTTCTTCCGTAACTTCCGCACGGGCCGCAGTCAGATTTTGTGCTTTTCTTACAGAAACATTCGGATGCCGTTTCATAAAACATTCATACCACTTACGACCAGGTTTATTATCTTTGAATGCAGTTACTTTATTTTCACAGTTTAGATATGACTGAATAGAATCCATTAATTCATTTTTATTAACTGGACATCCAGTTTTCGATCTATGAATCATCCAATTTACAATCTTTTCTTCATTATCCTTTGATAAAACTGTTGATGGACCAGGTTTAGTAGCAATTTGTTCTTGACAATTTACTTTTCTAGACAAAGTTGAAAGCGGCACTCCACATTCACGTGCTGCTTTTCGTAGATTAATGCCATGTTTAACAGCCGTAATTGCTCTGTCTAAAGATTCTTGAGAATATTGCATCCTCTTTTCTTTCTGTTTAATAATTTTTTTTTGTAAAACATTGACAGAAACTGTACCTTTTTTAATTTTGACCGCATTCTTAGATTTCAACGAACTATTGACCGTTTTTTTGATTTTTGAATTTCGTTTCTTTTTTTTCGAAGATTCTAAATCCTTCTTTCCTTTCTTGTTTTTAATTACCTTCATCTCTGAAAAAATATACAATAATTAAATAGTCTGATTGATTTTTCTTTGACAGATCTTAATTATCTCTATACATTTTTAGGTTAGGTACACTAAAATGGTAATAACTATATGAAAATTGAATACTTACTTGACTAAATAAAACAATATTATTATTTCACAACAAAATTTTCACATTTCTACTACAATAAGTCATATAAAATTAGTTTTTGGGAATAAAATACTGAAAAATCAGTGCAACAAATCGCGTTTGACATGTGTTCCATTAATAGGCGCAACTGAAAAATATTGGTACATAACCGTGGAACAGGTGTTCCATTAATAGGGGCAGTTGAAGATCCAGTGCACCTGATATGGAACACGTGATGAAAATAAAATATTAAATTTTTTTTTAAAAAATGACTCTTAAATTGTAAACTTAGAACTTATAAATAACTAATAAAACGATTTTCATTGAAAAACCTTTTTAAATCCTCTTTAAAATAGAAACCTTAATATCACAGTTGCGCACTACATTTCTCCCAGTAAGCTTTATAAACCCAACGTTTGGAACATTTCTGATTCAGTATCGTAAAACAATTTTAAAAAATGTATATATGGGACGTTTTTTGTCAACCGGACCACCCCATCTCTCCATAATTGGTTTAATTTAAAAAAATTTTATCATATTGGAAAAATTAGCTTGGAATGTCTACTTTTTAATCCCGTTGGGCGCTTTTTGAAATTCAAAATGGCGACTTAAATATGGCGCCTAAACGACATAAAAAACACGAAAAATCCACTAATATGATCTATATTATTGTTTAAAGCTTCACATATGGCGATGAAAATAACCACAACATAGTTTACTTACAAACAGATAACGTATCTCCATTCAAAATTCAAAAATTCAAAATGGCGGATTAAATATGGCCGATAAAATTAAAAATTGAGCTAGACTCGTGAAAATTACTACTTGGGGGTTTTCGAG